GTTTACTGAGCTGGTAGCAAGTCTGTACTATAATCTCCGACACAAGAACTTGGAATGTTACACAAAAGTGGTTGAGAAAGACTCGAGTTACACAGTCGAAAATTTGGACCTATTTCGTGTTGGAAATTACAGTTCAAATTTGTTTCATAAAGACAACATCATTCGTACAACGTTTGTACCGCCATGATATCCTAGCATATTTGGCAATGCCATACAGCTATAAGCCCATGACGATAAAAGGATAAGACGCCCCAACCCGTATCCGCTTAGGCCTTGATCGCCAGTAACATCATCGTTGACATTTGCAACGGCATAGAACTTTAGGACATTTGTGTCTGCCCAGACCACCTAATGGCATTTAAACGAACAATAAAGTACCGTTGTTCTACGAATTTTTGGAAAAAATCGAAGAGACAAAGTCGAGGAAGGGCAACTCACTATCACAGGCCAGCCCATCGGCATTCAGGACATAGCCGGCTCCACAAGAGCAGATAAAACTTCCCACGGTGTCCGTGCAGTTTCCTGCGCATCCTCCGTTGTTTGTTGCGCACTCATTCACTGCAACAAAAGAGATTCTGAGCAGTTCTGATTTCAAGACTAATATCTAAGCATTAAAAGTTTACCAACAGTCTGTTGACAACAGAAATTAATAAAACATTAAGTTTTTTACTTACCTTGTGAGAAGCCAAAAGAACTACTATAACTGCCATACCTGAAAAACAAAACCACTTCTTATGTAGCATGTTAATATTGGGAACCCTAAAGATATAAATGGAAACCATTTATACACTATGTATTGCTATAGTATCTTGCTATGAAGAAAAAATTGATCGGCCGTCTATGAACAGTTTGTAAAGACCACACGCTACTAACGCTCTAGTGGTGACTCCGTTCTGGGTGGAAGCTTGGTACGACGGTTGCCCCGGGAGTTTGTAGCCCGTGACTACTCCGCCAGTGGTCGGGATTCTGCCGTCATGGATAGCAGCCTTACAGACACGGGAGTCCTTGTAGAGGAAGAGACAAAAACTAATCTCCAAGCAGATCTTTCGGTGGCAAGGCAGTATCCATTGGCCAGAGGAGTGTCCATTAGCCACCGAAGATCTGCCTGCAGTCGAAACGTCAAAGGCTATTAACACCTAGTTGTTGCCTGATCAAAATATTCTTGCCAAGTAGTTTATTGCCCTGACCACCAGGCAAGGCTCTTGCCCTCCTAGTGAGCCTGCTGGTTGAGCATTACAGGAAGTCTCTCTATGGGTCCCCTCACCAACTGTTATTTTGGACAGTTTAACTATAGGAAAAGAAGATTCAACACATGTTTTGTGATATCTGCAGTTTTTAACCACAAGGACCCCAGTTATTGACATTTCTATGTTTCAGCCAGCATATTTTAGTACCAGCATACAGTATTATCTGGACAGGGTTAGGTGAGAACTCCCACTGAGATGTGCGCGGGTGACTGCATTTGTCCCAGATTCAAGCTATAAACCGCTTGTAAAAATCTTTGCACAACAAATTTTTGATAGCTGTTAATAGGGGCACAAGGAGGGGCAGCAACACCATTTTTGAAAAGAAGTGCTCCTCCCTGTTCGAGTACCGGCAGATCTTCGGTGGCTAATGGACACTCCTCTGGCCAATGGATACTGTCTTGCCACCGAAAGATCTGCTTGGAGATTAACAAAAACATGAAGGAATAATTGATCTACATGTATTGATAATATTGTAAGTAGGGACCACCGTAACCGTTACAAACAGCGTTGATCACACTTACAGATGTGTAAATGCCAGTACCCCAGACAGATCCTCCAGCAGTCAGACAGCCACCAGGGCAGACCACTCTGTGGTGGGGAAGGGAACAGATAAACTAAGGTTCCAAACGCGAAGGCGTTGTTTTTACACTAACATTAATAAAAATATTAATATGTCGCACGGGTCATAACAGTGCCATCCAAATAGTGGACAGATGCTTTTGAAACTGTCCCATACTTATATTATATTGCTATCATAGCTTATCATTATTCTGATGCTCAACGAAATTCTCGATCAGGAAGAAGTGAAATACAATACTGTTGGCTTACGTAAATGTTTGTCCGGTGATCTCCGTAGAATCTGTGGTGCAGGTGATTTGTGCTGAAAGGAAAATGTAGATCCTCTATCGATACGCTAGAACTGTCATTCGAAAGTCTTATCTTAAAAAACTAGGCTGTTGTCCTGTTTTGCATAAATTTTATTACTTAGCTTCAAACACTACCTATCATAATTACACAACGTAGAACTGAGACTGCTCCTGTTAAATACAGGGGATGTGGTATTCCAGAATTTAAATATTTTTATGCTCTTAAATGTCACAAGATCAAATTTCTTTAATGAATACAACATCACTCTTAAAACGTTTATACCGCCATGATATCCTATCATATTTGACAACGCCATACAACTAATAGCCAATAACGATAAAACCATAAGACGCCCGAAACCGTTTCGGCTTTGGTCTTGATCGCCAGTAGCATCATCGTTGACATTTGCAAGAGCATACATATATAGCAACCTTGCAACATTTGTGTCTGCTCAGACCACTCAATGACCTTTGAACGAACAATATTTGGGGAGAAAATGGCAGGGACAGAGGAAGGACAACTCACTAGTGACACTATCACAGGCCAGCCCATCGGCATTCAGCACATAGCCGGCTCCACAAGAGCAGTTAAAACTTCCCACAGTGTCCGTGCAGTTTCCTGCGCATCCTCCGTTGTTTGTGGCGCACTCATCGACATCTGCAACAAAACAGACCAACTTAACTTACTTTATTTGCTTTACCAGAGAGTCGGAGGGAAGGAGAGAAAAAACAAGACACCATTCGTTATTCCTGTATTCTCATTACCCGACTTCGTCTGGGCACCTGCAGCTTGAATCACAGTCTTTATACCCGAGGTCTTGTTACAAGTCCATCCTGTAGCTGCGGGTGTCCATATGAAACGATTGCTCATTATTTATTGCACTGCCCTATATACACCTACCAGCGCTTAGTCCTTTTTGGCAAGCTTTCAAGCATACTTGGTAATATTATTGATTTAAACACCCTTTCTGATAATTCCATACAATATTTAGTTCTTCGCGGTAGTTTCCTTTGTTCGTATGACACCAACTGCAAAATAATGTTAGCCGCACAAAATTATATATTAGAAACAAAAAGATTCTAACTGTATGTGTCTCC